CAGTTGCCTTCTCGATAAATGATCTAGTCCCTAAAACAGAATTGCTAAAGCATCTCCGTAATTGCCTTCGTGACTGTAATGTCCATTCGATTGTCCCTAAAACATCCAACGATAGGGCTACCTACTCATTAATAGTAGGATAGCGCTGTCTAAAGGATAGGAGGAAAAGAACGAATCTTTTCGAGTACAAAAGTAGATAATTGTTAGAAGTTTTCTCAAAACACTTTTTTTGCACTTACACATAAATACTACTTTTTCAAAAGATATTTTCCAAACACTTTGTATACGTTCTCTACTATCCCGAGAAACATTACGAAGTTCGCCATACTAAGACATTTTTTCAAAAATATTTTCAAACACACAAAGCGCAAAAGCATTTTAAAAATGAGCAAACCTCTAAGAGCCCGTGGAAAACCACGGATGAAAAAGGTGTTAACACCTTCCCTTTCCATAATCTACCCCCCTTACTCAGAAAACTCTCAAAAAGGTCTTTTTCTATTCTTTTCACCATTTCCTTAATTTGGATAAAAGAAAAGGTAGTGGTGACTCTTTCTTACCGCACATTTGCGAACAAAAAAACGCAAAAATCAGTATTAAACATATGTTCTGCCACCGTATAACACCCAATAAAAGAAACATAATTTTTTTTTTGTACTTTTTGCAAATACATATCATATGTTGAAGAGTTAAATTACATCACTATCCTACAAAAGTGGACTCTTCTTGGAATGCGATCAGCTAAAAATAGGGGTGGCAAAATAGGTTCGGTTCATTAGACATGCCCGTTTTATCTGCAATTTAGTGCGGAACAGATTAAGAATTTAGGCCTTCACCCTCTAACATGACTGTTCTGCCCCACTTTATTTTCTTCGTGGACTTTTGCGGGTATTGATTATAACATAAAATTTTATATTTTTAGAAAATAAAAATATTTTTTATACATTTAATGAAAATTCATTGACAAGTAAACTTCTCCATCAATTTTATAATAATAGATCTATTTGCAAAAAAAAAAAAAAAAAAAAAGAAATTGTTACTTAGTTTTTAAGATGACATTTATTATATTTTTCTAATAGTACACGCTAGCTAAAATTCTGGTTCTAAAACATGTGTCATTTTAGATATTGCATACAAATTCAAAAATGTTTAATTTTGTATGAAGAATGAAGAATTTTTATTTATAATAGTTATAACACAGAACATTTATCTTCTAGTCGAATGGTCTTCGATATAAAAACTTTAATTTATTAATAATAAAATATTAAATTTAATAAATTTTTAACATTTTGAATAAACTTATGGGAACTATTGTTTTAGTGAGGGATCTATTTTTTGTTATGTAGTTTAATGATAGGAATTTACTTGTTTTAAAAATGAATAAGTGAAATATTGCATTCTCAAATTTTTCTATATCTTTTTATAATTTTTTTTTTGAATCAAAAGAATATGTATTAATTCAAAAACCTTTAAGTACAAAGTGCGATCAAATGATCCAGCATGCAAAAATGACTAGTATCTACAGCATAAGCACATCTATATGCTTTCTTAGTTTTTTACTATACCAACTCCTATATATAATATTCTCAATAATCTCCTCCTCTATTTTCTTTGTAACCAAGGTATTAAAAGTAATAGAATTCCTATGACACCAAATACCATAGAGGGTTTCCGTAAAACCAAGTTTGAGTAATGCCGCTTTCCACCCTTTCCTTTTCGTTTGAGTAATGACCCATTCAATCTCATCCTGCCAGACAAGGGGGCTATGTTGAACCTCCATCCATTTTAGAATTTCTTTCCATATCCTACCAGTGTTCCTGCATTGAAAAAACACATGCTCAATAGTTTCAACATGCTCCAAACAAAGGCTACAAATGTCCTCATGAATAAAACCAAATCTGCGAAGTCTTTCTTTGGTAGGAAGTTTACCATGGCATGCCTGCCATAAAGTCAGAATAGAACGGGGTCTAGCAGCATTCTTTATGATTAAATTCCTCCATATAACACGAGTACCATCATCAATGAGCTGTCTGTACACCTTTACCATATGGAATTTTTCTTTTTGCAGGTAGTCAATCCAGGGAGCTGAGAGTTGGGTTGTAAGGATTCTGCCCTGCATTATGTTCTTCATGACCCAAGACCAGTTTGTATTGATAACCATGTCCATAATATTACCATCTTTTATATAGTAACTATGGATCCATTTGACCCACAAAGTATCAGTTTTACGGCATAAATTCCACAGACATTTAAGCATGCATACCTGATTCCATACTGCCACATTGATCACGTTCAAACCACCTTGAGAATCGGGCCTACAGACTTTCTTCCACGCCACAGGGCTTTTTCGACTAATCTCAGGAGAACCTTTCCAAATAAATGATCTACATAAGGCATTTATTTTCTTTATCACAAATACCGGGAGAGGAAGACATTGGAGCCAGTACTGCGCTGTAGCAAACGAAATACTCTTCACAAGTTGGACTCTACCCGCGCAGCTCAATAATTTTACAGTCTAGTGTTGAATTCTGCATGTTATTTTATCAATTAAAGGGAGGTAATGATTTATGGTAAGTCTCCTGCTAGTGAGGGGAATGCCCAAATAACGCACAGGCAGCCTTCCCTCAAACCTGGTTAAGCCCAAAAGATCCTGCTTGATGTCATTAATCCTGCCTCCAAAAAAGATCTTGCATTTCATAGGATTAATAACCAAACTTGTAGATGCTGAGAAAGTTGACATAGCCTGCATTAGCAACCTCACAGAATTACCATCTCCCTTACTGAAAAGTAGAACATCATCTGCAAACATAAGGTTAGTGAGGCCAATTTTTTCACACCTTGCATGGAATTTGAAATTAGGATCATGCTGCATTTTGAGCAAAAGTCTACTCAAATATTTCATGATAGCTACAAATAATAAGGGAGAGAGTGGGTCCCCTTGTCTCACACTCCTACAAGCTTGCATAGGCTCAGTCAAAAAACCATTCACATTAAACTCATATGAAACAGTAGTAACTGTAAGCATAATCCACTGAATAAATTATGGTGGAATGCCTAACTCCCTCAGAATAACCTCAAGCGCTCCCCAATCCACCATATCATACGCCTTTTGGAGATCAATTTGCAGTATGCATCGAGGAGCTTCAGTCTTCCTAGTATAACCTTTGATGATTTCATACGCCAGCATAATATGGTTATGGATATTCTGCCCAGGAATGAAAGCAGCCTGACTATGATTCAAGACCCCCTGAAAGACAGTCCCTAATCTAGCTGAGATAATTCTAGAGATGATTTTGTAGAATGTAGTACAGCCTGCGACTGGCCTATAATCCTTAATTCCTTTGGCTTGATCATTCTTTGGAATCAAGGTCACCACAGTCTTATTGAAAGGTATAAAAATTCTGTTCTGATCAAAAAACTCCATGACTGCTGCCACCACGTCCGCTTTAATAAACTGCCAACAGGATTTGAAAATTTTTGCTCCATACCCATCAGAACCTGGGGATTTAAGATCACCAATTCCTTTGAGGGCTTTTTCAATCTCATTCTCAGTGACTTTACCCACCAAAAAGTTTCTCTGCAGCAGACTGAGTTGTTTTCCCCTCCTCATAGCATCAATGTCTACATGGATCAAGGTTTTATCATGCATTCTCATAAGACTAGCATAAAAATCCCTTACCTCCTGCAAGATATCCTGCTGACTATGCAGAATGGAGCCATCATCTTTTTGTAGGAGATTCATATTTGTATGACTGTGCTTAGCTTTCAAGTAGGTATGGAAAAAGGCATTATTCCCATCACCCACTTTAAGCCAGACAATTTTTGACCTCTGCAGAAGAAGCTTTTCCTCCATTTGATTCCAGTGTATAATATCATCAATCAGTTTCTTTATCTCCTCAATTTTATGTCTATCAAACCTGCTATTCTGAAGTTCATTTTGTGCTGACAAGAGATTTTGCCTAGCCTTCAGAATGTTCCTTCTAATAGCATTAGGGTGGTAGTTAAGCTGTTTAAGAACAGGTTTCAACCTCTGTAACTTGTGCCATAAGACCTGCATAAGTGCCCCTCTAACAGGCTTTGTCCAATTAGCTTTGACAGATTTCTCAAAACCTTCCAAATCTACTAGGTAATTATTGAACTTAAACCTCCCATAGAGTTTCTTTGGGCAATTATCAGAAAGCAGCAATAATGCATAATCAAAAATATCAGGGGGGGAGGATATGCAGAGTCATATGCCCAAATTGGATATCAATATTTTTAATGTAAATTAATTTAAAATTTAAATTTAAAATAAAATAATTATAAAAAGTGGAATAATATACTGTCTTATATTATAAATAAATTTCATTTTTTTAGATTTTATTTTTTTGATTTATTGAAAATTAATATAGATAATAAATTAAAAACAAAAGTAAAATTTATTTATAATATAAAATGAAATAGTATTTAATAATATGAGATGAAATAGTATTTAATTGGAGAAGGATATGAATACTTTACTACTGAGTTGAATGATATGAGATTGTTTACCTTTATTTTATTAGAAAAGGGGGATGTTGAACAGTAATTATTAAATGCAGCAATTATTAGCTACAACCGTACTAGTACTAGGACAAAACCACTTTCATTTCTACATCTTTCTTCTCTCTTATCCTTTCTAGCAATTTCCACTTTCCATTCATCTTCTTTCATCCTCATTTTTCACCTTGAAAAAGTTTACAACTTGTTGTAACACAAGCGTATAGTTGAAGGCATGTTTTTCTAAGAACCGCGTTACCACAACAGGAATAACGTGTCATCACATACATTATACACTGTCAAAATACCTGTAATGTATGGTTGACATGTCTTCGTAGTTGACTTCAAAAAACATGACAATGTTTTGATAAGGTTGTGTGTGTGTGTGTGGAACAAACAACTCAACTTCATTATAATTAAGTCCAATTGGTTTTTTTTTCTTAGAACTTCACTATTCATTTTATATAAGGTAATTCCTTATTGTCATGGCTCTTCCTCATCTACTTCTTCTGCTTAGTCTTCATTGCTCATTGTTTGTAGCATTGGTATCTGGTTGGAAGACATTGCAAGGTTTGTTCCTAATTCAATTTCTATTCTTTCTTCTAATGTTCTCTATGTATGCTGCTTATTTGTTTTTAGTTTGTGTCATGTTTTAATAAACCGTTCTAAAACATTCATACACACATGCGTGAGGAATTTGTGGCTTCATTGAGGTTGCCCGGAGTCGCCTAAATTGCGGCATTTGACTTTATTTCGGCCTCCAACATCTTCATTATTGTCTTGAGTTTGAATGAGTGGATTTAGTTCAACATTAGTTAGAGTTATGAATGAGTTGTATTTATAAGTGAGAGCATTCCCCACCTCCCCAATTTACAAGCCGATTTTGTAAGGAGAGTTAGGCTCAACCAAATTTCTTAACTTCTTCACATGATATCAGTGTTTAGTTTAAAATCAGTTGAGCCACTTATTATTAGGTTTTCTGCTATTAGATCACCCATCATTTAATTTCACGTCTCAGATGTTCAGTCCTGAGTGTGAGGGGGTGTGTTTGGAGTCCTACATCGGACAGTATATTACCTGAATATGTCTTTATAAGTGGGAGCAATCATCACCCTACAATTCGGTTTCGTATGAATGAGTTAGGCCCGACCCAAATTCTAAGTATATGTAAATAGCAATGTAAAGTTGATGATATTGATAATGTTAACTTTGCAATAGTTTGTCATCTCTGAACTTAAAAAGTAGTAAAATTTTGTTGGAAGATTTGTTCTTCATAAACAAATGTCAAAAGTTGGACCTAGTCTATGAAGATGAATACATAAATGCAAAGTTTTATTAACAATCGCGTAGAGATCGTATCGCAATTCCTGATATTGTGAAAGATTGCGTCAAATTTGGATGACACAGCCGCAATATGCACTTGGAGAGACATTGAGAACTTTGACAAATGCCATGCCTACAACTGTGTCCCCTTTGTTTAAAATCTTTCATTATAAATTGTGATGCTTTCTTGGTATGCTATGCAGGATCACCACCAGTGGTAATAGCACGCGGCGGATTTTCGGGGTTATTTCCAGATTCTAGTTTACTTTCCTATAACTTGGCACTAAAAACTATTTCCCCAAATGTGACTCTATGGTGTGACTTGCAACTGACAAAGGATGGAGTTGGGATATGTTTTCCAGACATCAAGCTTGACAATGCCACTGACATTATCGCTGTTTACCCCGACAAAGCTAAGGATTACTTGATTAATAAGGTTCCAACTCGCGGATGGTTTTCTGTTGATTACAGTTTCAATGAACTAGCTAATGTCTCACGTGAGTTCGACCTATCTTCACTCTTGAACATTTTTGCTTTCATGAAGTTAAACTCTTTGTAATTAAATTGTCAGCCGATGTTTTGATTAGTATGAAAACTTGTTCCACTACAATTGTCCTTTTTCGCTTTTTGATATAAGCTTGTAAAATGACTGACAATTTTCTCGGTAATTGGACAGTTGTTCAGGGAGTGTTTTCTCGAACGCCATCGTTTGACGGACGTAAGTCTCACATTCTCCGCGTCGAAAATGTAGCTAAATTAGTTAAATCTCCATCTACAGGCCTATGGTTAAACGTTCAGGTAACGACGAAATGGAATAGACTATTTTCTCTCTAAGCATGTCCTAAGTTTAAGATTTGTAGAATTAACTTTAGAACTTTCAAAATATTACGCAGCATGATAGATTCTACAAGCATCATAATTTGAGTGTAGAGAAATTTCTTCACTCACTTTCAACTAAACAAGTATCTATCAGTTACATCTCATCGCCAAACGCAGATTTCTTAAGAAGAGTAAGATCAAACTCAGGTCTTAAAAAAACCGTCACAATCTTTAGGTTTCTAGAGCTACATGAAATTGAACCTACAACCAACAAAACTTATGGTGCACTCCTGAAAAACCTCGAATTTATCAGAACATTTGCTTCGGGAATTCTTGTTCCTAAAGGCTATATATGGCCTGTAGACTCAGAGCTTTATCTACATAAACATACTTCTCTTGTCTCAGATGCTCATAAACAAGGGCTGAAAGTTTTTGTTTCAGACATTGTTAATGATGTTACATTCAGCTACAATTTCAGCTATGATCCTTTGGCTGAATGTTTGTCTTTTATCGACAACGGTGACTTCTCTGTCGACGGCATTCTGTCCGATTTCCCAGTAACTCCATCTGTAGCCATAAGTAAGTTTTGTCTCCTCTATATTTAATAGCTTTTAGAGTTTAATTGATATGTAAAACTTTTATCTAATGCCGACATATATTGGAAATATTTTCCGCAGATTGCTTTCCCGGTGTACGAAGAAATTCCAAAAAACAAGGTATGATTTATTTGAAGTACTGTCTTGAGGTAGCATAATTTTTTAATAATCTTATTGATTTTGATTCTTTCTTTTATGCTAAGTTGATACTTTGATTATATCGAAGTATGGAGCAAGTGGAGACTATCCTGCATGTACCGATCTTGCGTATAAGAAAGCGAAATCAGACGGAGCAGATGTAATTGATTGTCCTGTTCAAATCTCGAAAGATGGAATACCCTTTTGCTTAAGTTCTATAGATCTTTCAACGACCACAAATGTGGCTCAAACGAAATTCCGAACTCGCAAAACTATTATTCCAGAGATTCAAAAGGGCAGTGGCATATATACATTTAGCTTGACATGGAACGAAATCAAAACATTGACTCGTAAGTTGAATGATCTTCTTGAATTCTTATTAATGCGTGTATGACTTTGTCTAGCCATTGTCACTTCGATTCGTTTTTTTTTGTGTGTTTCATTGCAGCCTCAATATTGAAACCTTATGAGAAATACCTATTGTTCCGGAACCCAAAATTCAAAAATCAAGGAAAATTCATAACCTTGTCTGAGTTTTTGTCCTTGGCTAAAGGCTCTGGCGTTTTGATCAACATAGAGGTGAGTTCTTAGTTCTTACATGATCTTGATTAACCGCTTCATCAGTGATATAAGGAAAATGAAATGACATTTCTCTTTCATTATTATCATCAGAATGCTGCCTACCTTGCATCGAAGCGGGGACTAAGTGTGACAAAAGCAGTCCTTAAAGCTCTACAAAAGGCTGGTTACGATAAACCGAGATCTCCTAAAGTTATGATCCAATCAACGCACAGTTCGGTACTAAAGGTATTCAAGGATAAATCCAAATACGAAAGGGTTTACAAAGTTGACGAAAATATCCATGATGCCGATGATAAAGCTATAGAGGATATCAAAACATTTGCTGATTCTGTTGTGGTGAAAAAAGCTTCTGTCTTTACTCAAAATGCAGCATTTCTTGTTAACTCTACAACTACCGTAGCAAGGTTTCATTCATTTAAGCTACCAGTTTATGTCGAAACATTCAGCAATGAGTTTGTATCTCAAGCATGGGATTACTACTCAGATGCGTTTTTCGAGATTAATTCATTTGTTATTGGAGTCAAGGTTAATGGCATTATTACCGACTTCCCTAAGACTGCTGCGCGATATACGAGTAAGTACAAAATTTGAGTACATAGCTATTTTGTTCCTTAAATGCATAAAATTGACGTCTCTATAGTTTCTCAATGTGTCATAATCTTCTTTGTATGTCATTATTTAGCTTTCATTGATGACTTGACTGTTGCTCTACTTGTTGCAGGGAACAGGTGTTTAAAGCATGGCAAAAAAGCACCATATGTGAACCCTATTGAACCTGGAAAACTTTTAAGACAAATTTCCAAGTCATCCCATTTAACACCTTCCCCTCCACTTCCAGTCTTACATGATAGTAATGTCACAGAGCCACATTTGCCAAGTGTTTCTGGAACATTTCCGATTTTCGGTGCTGCTCGTTGAACAGTAGCAACTCCAGCCACCATTTCAGCATGAAGATAGTGCAAAGAGTAAAGAAAGTGTAGCAACCATACACGCCACCATTGTGTAAAATGGTACTCAACATTAATACATTTATTATGATTGTTCTATTGTAAGATGTGATTATCCAAATAGCTTTATTTCATTATCAATAAAATTCTTTTGGATTGTGAAGACAAGAGTTTTGTTGTGAAATTGAAAAGATGAACCAGACAAAGACTTCTCGTTGTGAAAATCTAACAAAAATAATAATTTTGTATCACACCAAGAATAATAATGTTGAGGGACAAAGAACAATCAATGACAACCAAAATGAGAGTTTCTTAGAACACTATGTATTTGAAAAGCAAAATTCAAACTTGTTTCTTAGATTTCGGAGATGTATCTCTGGACGCACCTATATTTATTAAATGTTAAGAATGGATACGGAGATGCATCTTCGGATTAAATTTACCTATATACTATAAATCATTCTTTAAAACGCCCATTTTTGTCATAAATTGTTTCGGAGATGCATCTCCGTATTCTCACCAGACAGAATTCGAAGACGCATCTCCGTATCCGGTCCAAACAGTATATTTTAAGTTTTTTTAGTTATGTTGAGACGAATTAGTCAAAAGGTATACTATGATGAAGTAGATATTACAACGGCTATACAGGAAAAAAATATATAAAGTTATAAATCAAGATTACATAAAGAAGTCAAAATAAGTCTAACTAAAATGCAATGCAAAATAAATTCAGAGTATAAGTACTATAATCTACTACGTATGACAGACTCAGATTCGACCTCGCGACCCCATGTTCCTATGATGCCTCATCTATTACAGTGCCTCCCTCGCCTCCGCCAACATGACATCTACAACGTCTCTCACCTCAAATCCATCCTGAAAGAGTCCTCTGTCAATACCTTTCTGCCCAATCTCCATGATACGACGATATTTATGCAACACATCAATAACATGATCTGCCCTAACCTACTCCTCCTTTAGTATCTCCTGATGAGCTGGCCTCAGTGGATCTCCTAAAGCATCTTGTAACATATAAAGACGTGACACCGTGAAGAACCACCTGATAAAACCATCTACGTAGCACAAGCCGCTCTCAATTATGGTACTTTGTGCCTCCTCCTGTACCAGATGATTAAGATAATCATCAAACATAACATATGTATCTCTGTATATCATAGTGGGAGGAGCAGACACAGAAGGATCTTTAGGAATATACTGCATGCAGCCGAACTCGCGCATGATGCACTAAGGCAGATGAGGAAATGTCATATGTGAACTGCAAGCCAACCATCATGAGTATAAGATTATGTCGTCAAAGGCACGTGTCTCACGGTTATCGATGGAATAATAGAAGTGTATATCCTCTGCTACAAGCGATTAAGATATACTCTTAATGGATATGTCGCCTTGTTCCCTCTAAGCGGGATGAATGGAGAAAGATGTGGCAAATCCTGAATATAAGTTGATACACATGATCAGTCAAACATGCGTGGGAATTGTTGGAGGATCCAAATCTAAATTTTTTTTGAACACATGAATCATTAGTTAGTAACAATGTTGCAAAAGTGTAATAATAATGACATGAAAAGACTAAAAGACGGAGAAATATTACCCTCAATAGTATGATATTGTCTGTCATATGTTTCTTCTTTCACAAGCTCCCCTTAGTTGTACTCATGGATCAGCTCTGTCATACCCCAAATTTGTCTGTCTTAGTGCTACCGTCAAATTTATTTTCGAACTTGGGTTTTACTGAATATAGAACTCTTTTGGTTTAATTATATTAACATTATGGAGTTTCAATAAATATTCGCTTCAAAACCTATTTAAAAATATAATGATCTATATCAGATCATTTGTATTTTTGAATAAATAAATATTTGCTCGTCTTCATGTACTTTCAGTTGACTTTTTATTTTGAATAAGTAACATAACATAATTGGTAAGGAAAGAAGCTTGCAAATATAAGGGCACGAGTTTGAATCTCACTTGATGCATTTTAGATATTTTTGTTGTTTATTATTACTAACTTTATTTTCATTTTCAATTATTTCAAACCACAAATTTTTTTTATACTATTTTCGTATTTATTTATTTATTATATTTAAAAATATTATTTTTTTATTAAAATTATTATTTTATTTAAAAAAAATAGTCAAAATACCTTATAAATTAATATTTTCAAATGAATCTCAATATTTAGAATAGTCATAAACAATGCTAGATTCATAATCTTGTTCACGAAATTATGGACCAAATATTCAATCAATTTCCAATCTTTAAAATTATGACAAAAATAGATCAATCTCAATTAGTGCGCTTTGGATATTTTTTGTTATTAACTATTTTTTAATTATTTTCAAAATCACAAAAATCGTATTTTTTTATTATTTAAATATTATTTTCGTATTTTTAATTATGGCATTTTAAAAAATTATTATTATTTATTTGATTTTATGCACTTTTCATCAAAATTAAGTGCAAAAATCATAATAAATACCAAAAATATTTCCTTTTCGAGATAACTGTTTCTTATTGGTTAATCTGCGTCAATTTGTGTCATAATCAACTTCTAATTGGTCAACTTGTTGACCAAGAAAGATCTGATTTATATTATTCCTTTTTTTGCCCTTTAATCTGATTTTGACAGTCTATAAATAGGGTTATATTTTCACACTTCTAGGACATCCAGAAATATTCACAATTTCCACCGTTTCGATAATTTCCAACACTATTCAAACTTGCTAACTTGATTTTACAATTACTTTTGGTTTATTCGAGAGTTACTGACTATATCAAACAACAACCTAAGAACAATACACTTTTTCCTCTTTCATAATTTTCTACACATTTACAAACAACTTTTTTTGGGCCGATGATTTCATATGAGCCCTCCCCCAATTTCATTTTCGATTTTAACTTTTCTGTTCTTTTTTTTTTACCACGTGATGATTATTGATGGTTTTTATTTTCAAAATTATATTATTTACTAACTTTTTTCGGAAGCCAATTTCCAGATTGTATACATTTTTACGACCCAGAATCATCAACAATTTCAACAATAATTAGCAAATCCATAATTCACTAGAGTTATCCTAAAGTTGTTGTTCTTCACATCGAAGAACAACAACAAAAAAACATGAAGCCTCCATCAACCTGAAAAAAGTCCCGCACTAAAGGAAAGAAGAAAGGAGATTGAAGGAAGCAGCTTAAGTTTGGTCACGACACTTCAGGTTGATTTCTCTTTTACCATCTTATTTAAACTTGTGCATGATTGTTTGTTATTGGGTTAATTGCTCGATGTATTTCTTTGGTTGATGTCTGAATCCAAAATTCAATTTGTTCTTTGTCTATGATTATTTTGTACATAATTCTTATTTTGAAATTTATTTTTAATAATATATTTAGTTTTATTAATCATATGTAGTTGTTATCGTTAATAACTATTAACATAATATTATAAAGAAAACTACACAAAAAAAAACTTGTTTTTCACCATTGTTATATTTGTATATTAATTTGTGTATTTTATTTTTAAATCTTAATTAAATCTGGTCACACACACACACACACACACACACACACACACACACACACACACACACACACACACACACACACACACACACACACACACACACACACACACACACACACACACACACACACACACACACACACACACACACACACACACACACACACACACACACACACACACACACACACACACACACACACACACACACACACACACACACACACACACACACACACACACACACACACACACACACACACACACACACACACACACACACACACACACACACACACACACACACACACACACACACACACACACACACACACACACACACACACACACACACACACACACACACACACACACACACACACACACACACACACACACACACACACACACACACACACACACACACACACACACACACACACACACACACACACACACACACACACACACACACACACACACACACACACACACACACACACACACACACACACACACACACACACACACACACACACACACACACACACACACACACACACACACACACACACACACACACACACACACACACACACACACACACACACACACACACACACACACACACACACACACACACACACACACACACACACACACACACACACACACACACACACACACACACACACACACACACACACACACACACACACACACACACACACACACACACACACACACACACACACACACACACACACACACACACACACACACACACACACACACACACACACACACACACACACACACACACACACACACACACACACACACACACACACACACACACACACACACACACACACACACACACACACACACACACACACACACACACACACACACACACACACACACACACACACACACACACACACACACACACACACACACACACACACACACACACACACACACACACACACACACACACACACACACACACACACACACACACACACACACACACACACACACACACACACACACACACACACACACACACACACACACACACACACACACACACACACACACACACACACACACACACACACACACACACACACACACACACACACACACACACACACACACACACACACACACACACACACACACACACACACACACACACACACACACACACACACACACACACACACACACACACACACACACACACACACACACACACACACACACACACACACACACACACACACACACACACACACACACACACACACACACACACACACACACACACACACACACACACACACACACACACACACACACACACACACACACACACACACACACACACACACACACACACACACACACACACACACACACAC